ATGTTTTTTGTTTAAAATAATTTTTTATATTTATACAACATTATTTGAATGGTTTTATAGAAATGGTTTCAAAATCGCGATTATGTGTTTAAACGGCGCTACAAAATTGACGAAGATGAAAAAATAATGGTGATTGTTTCTGAAAGTGTTGAACATCCTGATTATCCGGAACAGAAAAATAAATGGAGAGTAAAAGATTATTGGTCATATGTTGTCATTAAACCACATGAAGATTTTGACAAGGTAAGGTTAAAGAAAACATACAATGGGCAAGGGGTACTGATAAGCTGTGTATTAGGTTTACATTATTTTGTATCTTAAATTTTAAGATTTATAAATTGTATGCATAACACAGAATATTGAACCTGAATATATATTGTAAAATCATTACAAACCTTTTTATAAGATATATCATATAAATTTGTCCAATTTATTTGGTGTCCTTATCCATTTTTTATCTAACTTAAAATAGTATAATTCACAGTAAAATACAAAACGAGGTTAATAAATGAATCATATTGTCATCAAATTGAAAATAATAGACCATTTTACTGATATTAATTCAGCGTACAACATAATGGTTACTTATATTGAATGCTCTATTAAATATGTCATAAATTTAAATATATTGTCTGTTATGTGTTACAGCCWGGAGTTGAGTTTTCAATCACTTACTTTGATGACCCTGGAGTTACAGTTTCAAATTACCTCACATCATGGTACCAAAGTAAAGGTATGTTATTATTTTAATTTAATTATTTTAATACAAATTATTAATAAAATGTATTTTATTTCTTTAGGATTGCCTTCATTTTTAAACGATCAAAGATTAGCTGCATTAAAATTAAAAAAACGTCGCTCAGAAGAAAGAAATATTTTAAACCCAGATAAAACTAATTTAGAGACCAAACTAGATCAACCACAGACACAAACGTCTTGGATTTCTTGGATTTTTGGATACTTTTTATTTTAAATGACATTGAATATAAATTAGTTGTTGAATAGTCAATAAAAAAAAATTTTATTTGTGCAAAAATGTAAATAAAATAATGACTTGTCATTATATACATAACTATTCCGGCAAAAGGTCTTGAACTTTTTCATCTGCAAATTCTTTTTCTAGTGATGTAATTGGTCTTGACGTAGATGTGCGTGGTCTCTGTAAAGGTCCCAATGGATCACTATACATTTCTAAATGAAAATATAAATTATTTWTATTTAATTTATAAAATTAGAATACATTAACAGTCAGTGATGTATCTACCCTTTATTTCATGTTTGCAAAAACTTTTGTGCCTCTGTATTACCCAACAACAAAATAATGTTATTCTGAATTTTATGACAATAATTTTCTATAATATTGTATAATGCGTTGTAGACACAAGATCAAAAAATAACTTCTATTTTTTTCTTTTTATATAAAATTGTTTATATACATTATAACATTATATGTAGATTGTGTAATATTTTTCACAATAACACAATACTAAAATCGTTTAGTTTATTAATTTGTAAAAAAATAATTACTCATATTTATGATATTAGTCTGCATATTTTATAGATTTTTATTGAATTTAAATCCATRTCTTAATGATCGCTCATGTTACTAACCTCAAACAATGAAAATGAATACTGATGCACAACTTATTAATAAGGCAATTTTTAAATTGAAAACAATTTTATAAAACCTTATTATTTCTTAAATATTTAAAATAACATATATTTATAATAAAAAAAATAATTAAATATTTAAATATTTAATTGTTTTTATTATTATATATATTTTTTTTTTGTTGTTGATGGTCCACACATATGCAGCATTTCAAAATTATGGCGTGGCAAAGAAAAAGAGGTTAGACATCACTGGACTACAGTATAAAATACATATACATAAATATAAGATGTAAAATACCATTTGGTAATTTTGCTTCGGAGTGCACATAAATATTCATTTCATCAGAAATGTTTTGTTGTGAATAGGCACTTGTTAAAGGCATTGATGTAGTAATCAAAGCTGTTCCTCCTCTAGATGTCCGTGGTCGTTGAGAAGAATCACTTACCGTACCTTGATTATATAATTTAAAAGTTATAGGTTTATCAAAATAGAAAAAGTATTATTTAGTTTGACCTGTCAATACCTATTTAAATGTACAATCATAAACTAAAAAAACATTAACATTCTGTTTATTGATTATACATTCTTAATAATTTTTTATTTCTAAATTTACATTTAACTTTTTGTATAATCAGTAATTTATGTACTAAAAACCAAGTGTATAATTTAAAAAAATGTCTTACCTGAATCTTTAGCGCTGTCGTGTACATAAATATTTGTTTCTCCTGAAGCTGTTGGTTTTTGAACATAGTTATTTGTATTAGAAGTTGTAACCATACTGGTTCCACCTCTTGTTTCCATTGTCTTACGGTACCCAGTACGTGCTGTACTTATACGCTCTCTAATATCTTTAGCTTTTTCAGCTTTTCGCAACAGTTCACTATATTCTGAAGCTTCTTTTAGTCCCAAATCTGTACATATTCTGATCAATAACTTGAGACCTAAGTAATTGAATTTACTGTAAAATATTTTATCTTATATCTATAATTATTTGTTTAAATCACTGTTGGCATACACTCTGTATTGTCTGGAAATCTATTTAACACATCTTTATATGTTTGTAAAGCCAATTGAAATTGTCCTGCTCTTCTATAACATGATCCAATTAACATATACCATTTTGGTTCAGCTGGTTGCATGAGAGATGCTTGTTCAAAGTAATCTACTGCTTTCTCTGGTACTTTCATTTCGACAAAGTATGCTCCTAACCAATCCAACACTTCTAGGTTTGAAGGATAATGCCGGTACGACTAAAATTAAATTTAATGATAACATTATACAACATCAATTATAGTCTAAAAAATTAAGTGTTTGATACCTCATAATAATAATGATATGCTTGTTGTTTGTCGTTAATGTTTTCATAAATATCGCCTAATTTTTGTAAAACACCAACATCGTCAGGAACTATACTCAATAGTTGTAAATACCTTGATGCAAAATAAATATGTTTTATGGTAATTTTAATTTTGATTATTGTCCAAACTAAATAAATCAATTTGCCTGTAAATAATTTAAGTCGATATTTGTGCATAGTTACCACTCTATGGCCTGTTCCAGATCCCCAATCATTTCATTTAACAGTGCGATTTGATAAATTACTTCTGGATGATTACTAATAATGACATGAAGCTTTTGAAAACAATCCATTGCATCATCCAAATGCCCAAGTTGTTTATTTGTCAAACCCAAGTTATACATAGCTTCTGAGCACATCATATCTTTCTCTAGYGCAAGTGTGTAAAGTTCTTTTGCTTTGTAATAATCTTGTTTGACAAAGAAGCAGTTTCCTTGATTGACACAYGCCAGACTRTTAGACGAGTCTGTTTCACAGGCAGCTATTGATGTTCTTTCTGCTTGTTCTAAATCGCCTTTCTATAAATTCCATACACAAAAATTTCATTTACATATTGGATATATGTCATGTTTGGTAATAGACATACTAAAAAATGTATGAACGACAAGTTTGTAGCAGCTGCACTTGCTACTTTGCTATCCTTGTTGTCAAACGCTTTGAGAGTGTCGATTGCTGATGCTATGTTATTTTGATACAGAAATCCAACGGCTTTGTTTATCTCCAAGTGGCCAGCCAAGTATGAATAACGTGAAGTCTTAATAGTGTCTAAGCACCAACTGTATCCTTCAGTGAATGTATCTTCAATTATTGAAGATATTAAGTGTGCAGCGTTTAGAATGGTTTTTTCAAAATTTGATTTAATTTGTTTTTCATACTTTGTAAGTGGATCAGATTTTATAGCTTCTGCTAGGAGTGTGGCTTCGATTTCATCCTAAACATTAATTGAACATTTTTTTTTTTTAATAATATTTAAAAAAATGATTAATAGCCAAGAAATATTATTTCATACAGAATTTGCAGCATACTTGTCTTCAAAATCTATGTCTAATGATATTTCTAACATTTGTTTGAATATTTGTTTTGATTTATCCTTATTGCCCGACATATAATAGCATACCAAGGCATGCATTCCTGCTTTAAATGTAGGTTTCTCATGCATAATATACTCAAAGTTTGAACAAGCATCATCGTATTTTCTTAGTTTCAAAAATATTACACCAATATTATGCGTGATGGCTCGCCTAAAATCAAAACAACTTAAAATAGTAATTATACAAAGTTTATTTAATTTAACATATATATAATTTACTTGAAACTTTTATTAGTGTTTGGAACTTGATCAAGAGCCATTCGATACATTTTAATTGCTTTTTCGGGCTGTCCAATTTTTTCATATATATTTGCAACATTTACTCTCATTCGTGCACCATTTTGAAACAATCGATTCTTAGAAATCACTTGGTATGTATTTAAGGCTTCTGTATACATTTCATTTGCTGCATACTGATTTCCTAATGTAAATAAAACCTAAATCATTGACATAATAAATAAGTTTTGTGATCATATGCATTTTTTTTAAATTGTTAAAAACAATATTACTAGACATGTAAATCTTAGACATTAAAAAAAAAAAATCATAATGAAATGAAAAAAACTAACTAAAATGCAATGAATTGAATAAAAAGAATGATTKAAATTTGAATGTACCAAAAAAGTCAAATCAATGTTGTGAGAATCATTCAATCCTGCTTGTTCTTGCATTCTGATTAAACTTCTTTCCTTATTTGAAGCATCTTTTGACTTCTCCAATCCTAGCTGGAAGTCTCCTCTAGCTTCAGCCATACAGGCATCATTAACTAAATCATGTATGCGCTTTTCAAGTTTCTTGATTTTATCTTCCATTCTAAAATCATTTATTTATTTAAAACATATTTTTAATGTTTACTTTCATCAATAATGAATAATATAGATTTAAGGTAAGGAGCATAGTACATAGGCACTAATGTAATTTCTATAGCTTTTATACCTTTCTTCTTTGTTGGGTTCTGACATGATCATGTTTCTTGAAGGCTGACTTAAAACATCATAAGTAGATGAATGTGATGTGTAACCAGCTCCTCTGACAGCTGTTGCGGGTCTATTTGATGATTCTGAACCGCTTCTAGAACTTTCTGGTCTTAAAACCAATGCGTGTGGATCTTTTATTTGCTTTGAAAATATAAATATATTGTTGTGAAAAATAATTCAATATCATTTAATAATATATTTATTAATTCCGACATTAGAAATCTTAAAATTTCACCTACTGGTGTTGTGGCGAATGGTAGTGGAAGACCCGTTGGGGCTTTGGTAGACATCTATTAGAAAAAAAATTAGTTAAATTTTTATTTAAATTTACTATGTTTAAAAAGTTGTATATGTATTATTATATTAACTGATGCCCTTCTGCTGTAAGATGACCGTAGTGCTTGTCTAAGAATTTCTTCTGGATCCTCTTTTGCCCCATCTAAATGRTAATCGTACTGGGAGTACATGTCACTGTCATAAGCATTAAACTTATTTTTGAGATGTGCTGAATCCATTTTGAAGTTACTCAGATTTTATCTGTAGATACAAAATTATTAGTTAAATACAAATGAAAAATGCATCTGGTTATAATTTTCCATTTGTGTATACCAATGGTATCCCCATAGTAACGGCTTACTTAAAAACTGTAACTACTCTACATTAATGTTAGATATGGTAAATACTTCTGCATAGATTACTTGAACGCTTAATGAAACAATGAATAGTTATACATTTTAGGTTATATTTATATCTTATATTTATAAATTAAATTTTAGGTACATGATATATTATCTATAATTTTTTTTTTGAAACAAAATTATTTCTATGATTAATATTTGCATACAAATTCAGAATAGGATAAGTTACTATACTACTAAATTTTTCAGTTTTTGGATTTTAATCAGTTATGTAGTTTCTACATATTAATGTACATTTTAATATTGTATTATTGGCTTTATTGGCTTTATCCTTGAACAGAGCTACGAAACAGCAATTACTAGAATATTACCTATATATTTTTATTAAAATATAATAATTGATAAAACTTTTAAAAGTCTATCTTCGTTTGAACTTCCATCATACCTAGTCATCATTAACAAAAAAAAAATTGTTCATAAATAATTTTAAATATTTTAACCTGTATCCCTGTACTGACGACKGAGTATATCTTAATCGTAAACATAAAATCCGTCAATAATTATTATTAACTAAACTTGTTAATATCATACGGCGTAGTAGATAGACTACCAAAGTATTATCTTTCGTACCACAAAATAGGAAATCAAAAAAAGGCGGAATAATAACAATAATAGTTGCTGTAATTACTAGTGATTTTAATTATAATTTCAATGATACTATTTCAAAATGCGATTTCTGTGGATACATTCGTGAACACTAATTAAAATATCTTTTGTTGACGTATTGTTAAACCTCTAAAACCTACAATAAACGTACAATTACACCCAATCCGTATATATTTTTGTTTTCATTTATATGTTTAAAAGGTGTGTAATATTAAGCGATCTGTAGATTATTGTATATTTAAATTGGAAATTTTATAATGCAAAACTAAAATACATATTTGTAGTTATTGGAAGATAAAACGTATCGATATAGGATTACCTAGAGTTGTATCACAATATTATAATTATTAAATTATACATCATATAATAAAATAATACACATAGTTCAAATTACTTTCCTATAGATAAACTTTCGGATACTTACATATTTTATCTATAGTAATTAATATTCATTAATATATTATAAAATTCCCATTTCCCATTAAAACTCCACGTTTTKTTTTTTTTATGTATTTCATTTACTTGTCGCTCCATAATAACACTGATTGTGTACAGACACAGTATTATACACAAATAAACCTTTATATTTATGTATTATGTATTATGTTTTCAATTTTTTCAATTTTTTAATAAACTAAAAATACTTCTCACAACGCCAAAAATTAAATATTGTATAGGGGCATAGGGACAAGGATATTCGTTACATTACCATAGTCTACAACGCTTAGACGTCCTGCATTATACAAGTCTTTTTTTTTTTAAATCAAATATCACGATGGTTCGCGGTCTAAATTTAGATTCCTACAACGTTTTATTCACTCAAAAGGTGATGTATTATATGTATTATACTATTATAGTATAATGTTGTTTTTTTCGAAATCAAACTAATTACTGTGTAAAATTATAAATTAAAAAATTAAATAAAAATACATAATAATATGCATTATGAATTGTTTTTAACTAACCCCCTTTAAATGGTACATAATATAATTGTAATAATTGTTATAATTAATCATGATAATATTGTATCCGGATTTTCAGAAAAAGATCGCAGCTGCGTCCGTCGATCTCTGACCGWCCGGCGCCGACACATATTATGGTGCACGAATAATATTATTTTAACAAGTACACGACGTACAGAGTGTCTCAAAAGTCCGKCAAGTTCCGCATCACCCATTTTATAATCATTTCCGTGACACAAACCAATCGACGCAAAATCTAAATGCGGTTTTCGCAATAATTGCAGTGCTTCACTAACTCGTGAATCATAAAGCCATTAGAAACGCGGGCACGCCGATAAATCGGAATTTTCTCGTAGATGTGTATCGCACATGGACGTATTATAAAATATATATATATTTATTTTATATATATATACATAAATTATATGTCTATATGGTATCGCAATATATTTTGATGTTGGAAAACCGCGTTCGAAAATTGATCGATGCGCGTCGCGGTCGCTCGTTGCTCAAGAGTCTGCATGGTGACTTTTGATGCACTCTGTATATTATACGTCACGTTCGGCGATATAGCCGGCCACAAACCTCGGGGAAGCGGCGCGCGCGCGTTTATTATAATATTGATTGCGCTCAATGCGCTCGGCTTTCGTATCGTGCGTGTAGGAATACGCTGCGGCGTGCGCGTGCGCATGAGCGTTTCGTCTGGAGCGGGCGTCATCGAAACGCGGAAAGACAAAAGTCGCGTTCGCACGTATTCTATGATATTGTTGTGCGGGGTGACGGAGACGCGCGCCATACAAATTATCAGCACACGGCGGCGTCCCATCCCCTCCCACTCAACCGCCAGACCAGTCCGCCGTTGAAGTTCGAAAACTTTATTGTTAAAAGGTCGCGTGCAGACGTCCGTCGACGGCGGTGGCGACCAAAGGGCTGCAGCGGATTTCGATCGATTGATTTTTATCCCGAATCGTCGGCAAACGGCATAACAATATGTGTGCGACCGTGTGTGTGTGTGTGCATCGTAGACCGTATATAACGGACGAGATAGAGAGAAAGAGAGAAGAAAAAACGTTAATAAATTAAAAAGGAAACGTGATAAAAAAAAACGCAATCGACGTAATGTTYAATAGTTCCGAACGGTTCAAATACGTCAGAAGAAAATTCGGCACCGCCAACAACAGTGAAAATCGCTCATTCGTGCAGGTAAAACGAAACGCCTATTAGTAATGAATTACTATCGGATACCTGTACATGTCTTTTACTAGTCACACTGTACTTTTTATCACTGTGAGTTTTGCTATTTTTTAAACACATAACGTATAATATTTTTATAATTGTATAATATTAAGAGAAGTATATCTTTTCGAGTATTTAATTGAATAAATATAGTACATAACCAACTACCTATATTTATAACTTCGATATTTTAATATGAAAAAAAAAAAACATTGATTCCGAAAATACAATCACACTAAAGTAAAAAATGTAAATACATAATAGTGAACTAAATTTTCAAGCTAAAATATTTGGATGTAAACTTTTTTCCAAAATTTGTCTACAGGCTACAACCCAATGCAAGAAAAAACAAATACTCACTACAAAATAATTTTACTTATTTAGCCTACACGACTACGTGAGGCTAAAACGAATATTGCGGTTTGTTGGTATATAAGTGCTTATAGTAGTCTACCAGTTCTGTAAATAAATACAATTGATTTTAAAATTTGGATGAAAAACTTTTGAGATTAAATTGTAGGTAACTAAATTATCATAAGAGGATTTTTCTTTCCTAAAAAATAAATAAATAAGATTGGTTAATGAGTTATTCGTCGTACAAATTTTGGTCGTACATCCCATTGTTTAAAGTAACTTTATAAATCAAGTAAAATTAATATTAAGTTAAAGGAAATTTGTATTATTTTATTTTTTAACTTTTTAATGCTGAATTCTATTTTTCAGCTTAACCACTTTCAATCCGACGTAAACAATGTCAGCTGGAAAAGTGGAATTTATCGTTGTTTACAAAACAAGTAAGTTATGTTGCCTATACCTAATATTATAAAAGTTATTAATCTACTTTTGCATTTCGACGATTATACCTACTCATACTGTACTTATACTTCACCACTTTGTATAATATACAAAGTACTATGTTATATTTATTGGTTATTCGGGTTATTCCATTTATTCTCGTTGACGATTCTAAGAGCTTAATGTTCGAATACTGAGTTACCATTACAACTTTGGCACATATTTTATTAATATGCAATGCTCTTCAATACTACTGTAGTTTAGATAAACCTTTTGCTACACTGCTGTGAAAAATCACTAATTTAAATTTTAGTGTTATACTTTAAGTAATAGAATGATAGTATATTATGTTTTATAATTGGTATAAATCTATCCACATAATATACAACAAATAGTCAATTAGTGTTATATTTTGTGAACAAGTTGACTTCTAGTATCTATACATGTATATATAAAGTAGTATATAGTAGGTACCATATACTATAAGTCTATAACACTGTTACCTATTAGAGTTTATAGATTTTTAATATTAATCAAATAAATTGAGGATACTGATAAGTGATTATTTATGTTTAATAGTAAACTATTTCTTATTTCTGCAAACTAAAATCTCTTAAAATGTGTGCATATCCATATTTTTTATAAATTACACAGATAATTTCTGTAAGTGCGCCTAATTTTATATTTAAACACACACTTACATTATTTAAAAATGACATAAGAGTTAAGAGACGCCTTTATCAGAAACGAACCATGTTTAAAGGTATTAAGTTTTGGTACACGAATCAGCAATAACATTACATGATTAACTTATTAAGCGCAGTGGTGTATTTTTGTGTGTG